TTTAAGACGTAATAAAACAGACGATGAACACTATTAACAGCAATTATTATATGATGCAATCAAACTTATAGCAAAATGTGGTAGTTCTGTATGTTGTTTCAGGGTTGGCATCATCTGAGGTCCTCTGAGGGGTTGGCATCAACGTGCCAACGTTCTGGCAGGTAACGTGACCTGCCAGAACTAACGCTACGCTTGATTTCTTTAGGGTGATCTGATGCAAGTGGCCTTTCTGATGGGAGAACCAGATGCAGCTCGTGATCAGTGTGCCGTTTTCCAATCCCAGTGTGGCGGAACCGGACACAAACCACCTCGATCTCCTCGCATACACACTGAAGAGGTAAGCGAGCCATACTGTACAGGGAATGTCATTCAACCTACCCACACTGATGTCTTCTGAGTTAGACGAGTTTCTACCAAGTGGCCGACGAATTCACCATTACTCAACCCTTTAGCATTCCTGTCAAATTTGCCTAAAACGTCTAAAACATGCAGTGTACTGTGGGCATACAGTGGAACGCTAACAGGTTAAACAACAAAATATATGGGAAGTGTGTTTATACTATTGTGTGTGTTTATAATATTGTGTATAATTGTGTGTGCTAATATTGTGCACTCTACATTTGATTTCCTATCTCAATATACTGTACATCTTTCAAGAGTTCTACAGTATCTACATACACCATCTTTTCATCAGTCATCTTTTCCCTTTCCCTGTCCAGGAACTTCTGCTGTCCTCAAATGACCTGGAGGACTTATTAGAGACAGCAGAGGACAGTGTCTATTTTCATGCAAAACTGACTGTAAGTAGCAATACTATGCTGCTGTGCCATAGTTACTAAGTTACTTGTCATATGAAGTAAAATTCATAGTTCACCCAATAAATGAAAATGCTGTTATTTACTCACCCTCATGCCATTCCAAACCCATATGACCTGTTAAACATACAAGAAGACATATTGCAGAATGTCCATAGTGGTCTTTTTTATATCACAAAAGAAAAGAGGACTCTCACACTTTTAAAAATGACAAAGAAGCACCTTAAAAGTTGTCTGTTTATTCTCTTCATCACTAAAAGCTTTATACAACTTCAGAAGACTGTATATAGCAATAGGAATATAGCAGACGAGTCTTATGGACAACTTTTATGGTATATTTATGTTGCTTTTTGCTAATTTACCAAATTTCTTGGTAAAGTAACTCTTTAAATATTCATTAAATTAACATTAAATTACCTAGCAAAAGATCAAACATCCTAAAGATACTATTAAAATATTTATATTGGTATTCCCCTAGAGTTTTAAAAACTAATTGGATAAGGAATTGCTCAATCCTGTCTGCTTTGGGCAGATCATGTCTTGCTTTCTTGTAACTCAAATAGTATGCATACTATATCTCAGCAAGTTTATTTCTATAGTTACCTCCACAGAGTTGTTTTTACTATCTGTCTAATGCTGAAAAGCACTACGTTTTGAGAATCATATTTTGATTGCATGTTTGATGTGGATACAACTGCTTGAAATTGTGGCCTCAAGCATTACATGTGAACTGTCAATTTATATTACCACTCAACATATTTTAAACCTCGTTAGAAGCTGTATTTGTATTTGCACACCTTTCCTGTCAGGCTGATAGTAAATTAATGTCTAATCTGCAGTTTTTATATGTACAAAATCAAAAGAAATTCCTGATGAGAACAAATGACAGTCTTACAGTCTTCCAACATACTGTGAACCTGTGATCATATATCAAACCCAAATGGACTTTCCAAATCTTTTTTTTTTTTTTTGTATTTTCTGAAGCCAAATAAAGATGTGTGTGTGTCAAAAGAGCCAAATGTGTGTGGTGTTGCTGAGCTATAGCAGCCCAGTCAGTCCATGTGTGTTTGGCAGCTGTGAGCTGTTTGGCCAATGGATTCATGGTTTTTGTGGGCTTAGAAACTGCAGATATGAATATCAATGGACTCCATATTCCATTCGATTCAAAACCAAATGGTTCATTCGTGCAGAACGTACCATAGCATGTTTAAAACATCTAGTGCCTCAATCAATCACCTGGACTCCATTATGTTATGTCAAAAAGGTGGTGGATTTCAAAGACTAAAGAGAACCAGATTTTTTTTTTTAAATACCTGTTTTATTTCTCCAGTTTCAGTCTCTCTTGTGGCATAACCTCTAGACTAAGATCTTTTGTTGTGGTGTTTCGCTTTGATGCTCCATTTTTGGTTTGCCAGTTTCCTGCACTCATGCTCCCAGTGGAACAGATTAATAAGAAACTTATGGCTTTCTTTGATCCCTTTAACCCAACAGGAGGTCAGGGGTCAAAGGTAATCACTAATTTAGCTTGTCACTCATTTTCAGTGTCACAGCTTTGAGGCCAAAGTCATGAATGTTTAGTTGGATGTGTGTATGTATGCATATTTTTGGGTTAGATGACCAGTTGAGAGACTTGACCAACTGAGATATGTATATGTGTGTACCTTGTCCAATATTGCTTGTTAAATGAATGATACCTCAAATCATTATTATTATTATTATTATTATTAGGGATTTTTTGCCAATTTAATTATACAGGCATCATGGCTCAAGATCTGTTGAGACATGGGGTTTTATGTGTTACTTTTATGTTTGCTTGACCCACTGGGTGATGTGTGTGTGATTATCAGAGTTTATAATGCATTTATGTTTGTGTCTGTCTCTGTTGATTTGTTTTGGGTTGCTCTCCTCAGTCTGCAGGGGCATTATATATGTTTAAAAGTGGTGTTGGTGTGTTTAGAAATAGCTTCGTTCTTCCCATGGGTTTCATTTGGCAGTGGTGGGCACAAGCCTGTAATTGATTTCCTCTGCACTAAAATTAGGTTTGAGTTGGACGGAGAACTCCTCTAGGGAAGAGTCAGAATTACTCAGACAGGCTGTGAAGCATTCAACATCTCCAGACGTGCCTTTGAACTCACTCTCCCTGTGAGTGTAAAGTAAGAAATGTGAGATCTATGTAGGTTCTTTATTTGTTTATGGACAAAAGTGTGGACATGCATGAGACATTTCCAACTATCCTTAAACCAAACACTTTGGAAATGTTGTTTGTACAAGACGTTTACAAAGAACCTGAGCTGCTAAATTTCTCACCTCTTCTTCATCATTTCAGTGACAAAGGCCGAAGAGTAGGTTGAGTGCATTTTGTCCGTTCTATCATCTCGGTTATTTTCTGTCATAAGGTTTATTATTAATGGCTCTTGAGAAGGCAGGGATTTGAACTAAAGGCTAAGTTGTTACATCACACCCAGGTGAGCCATTCGGACATTTTCAGACCTAAAATTGTAATTGTTTTACTGATTTATTGATATTGAAATACAGTACAATGCTGTTCAAAAGTTTAGGGTCAGTAAGATTTTTAAAAATAGAAATAAATCATTTTAATTGAGCAAGAATGCATTAAAAGTGACTGTAAAGAAATTTGTTAGAAGAGATTTCTATTTCAAATAAACACTTTTCTTTTGAACTTTCTGTTAATCAAACTAAGAAATATTTTTTGAGCATGAAATCAGCATATCTGACTGCTTGAAAATTCAGCTTTGCCATCACAGGAATGACATTTTTTAAATATGTTTAAATAGAATACAGTTATTTTAAATTATAATGATATTTCACAATATTACTGTTTTTGATCAAATAAATGCAGCCTTTGTGTGCAAAACAGACATGAAAAACATGAAACATTTTTTTACTAACCCCCATCTTTTGAACAGTATTGTAGGTTCCTGTTTTTCTTTCCTTCCAAGCCTCTTGCCTCACTTTTTGATGAGCAAGACTTTGCAAAGATGTTTACACATGCATATTGACGTACATGCATGGATTGAGGCAAGCTCATAGAACAGTTGCCTTGCATCCTTGTATTAAAAAAAACTACTTAAGATGATGAGCCTATGAACACATCTGTCATCTTAGAAATAATTGAAGCAATGAGTTGTTTTCTCATCTCTTTTCTTTATGTAGCTTACAGTGCATGCCATTTCCATGTCTCAAGCTTTAAAAAAAATCCCTCTCAGCAAATTACAACAGCACTGACGCATTGAACTGAGAAGCATCTCTTTCAGACATGTCAGATTCATAATGATCTCATAGTAAGATAATTGGAGTGTGCCAAGGATTACACTGATGGGTTGAAAAGTAATGTACTTTAATATCCAATAGTGGAAATATATTTATGACTCGATTGTGTGATAGTTTTATCAATGGCCGCGTGAGTCGGTTTAAAGTCGGTTTAAATAAATAGAATTATTTTAAAACTTTTTCAGCCTAGAAATGTGAATACAAATTATATTTAAGCTCTAAAAAGTTTTTACAAGCTGAATCATAGGTTTTGGTTAAGACAGCTGCTGAGAATACCATCCATAAAACAATCTGTTTGATCTATTCAGATTGATCTGTTTCCCCGCAGCAACTGTCAGTTGTTTAGTACAACAAATATAAATGTGTTTGTAATTAAGTTAATATCTATTTATACACATGCAAAATATTGTGTCCCATTTGGATGTCACAATGACAATAAACAAGAGGAACAACCCTGTGATTTGTGATTATGTGACATTCAGCTGTGCAAACTGTTAAGGCATTTTTCCCTTTTTGGTGTGCATGATGGTTTACTGAAAACTCCATAATTATACGTCATTGTGCAGGCGTCTATATCACGCCTGCTCTCTTCCTTACTGCCTCTCTATCCTCGGGCAGTCACAGACTATTGCTGGTGCCCTCAGCTCCAGCACCACTGACTGTAATTATGTGTTCTGAGACAGTAATTTAGTGCCGTCCACCCCCAAACCCACAATAAATCACATGCAGTGAATGCAAAGTGACTTTACCATGCATAAATATTACTCTTTCCCATTATGGATGGATGGATAAATAGAAGTAGATAGATATAGATAGGTAGCTAAATATAGATAAGATAAGACAGACAGACAGATAGATTATCTATTTATAGCAATTATCTGTTATTGGGGAAGGACTCTTGTGACAAATCTCCATGGATTGTCTCCATAAGGACTCTCCACAGTGCTTTCTGTGTTATGAGTTGAGGGTGTGGATGGCCCCCTCTTTGATTTTGAGTACTGCAAGTGTTTTTTTCCTCTCCACTTGCACATAATTCACATCAGCAGGATCTCAGAAAGCTGTCAAGAAAGCTGTTACTGGTGAATTCTGTCAGATGTTGCCAAAAATGTGTCTGCATGTGGACAGTGTTTGAATTTCCCATCGGTCCATTTGACCTTATTAGCAGAGCGTTATTGTATAAACCACATTGTTTCTACAAATTAATTCTGTTCCACCTAGGCATCCATGTAAATACTTGTATCTGGACACTACAAGCTCACAAAGACAAGAGCACAGGCTTACACATACACCCGCTCAGTTCACCCCGAAGCCACATAGTCAAACAGGTGTCTCATTGAGTGAAGTAGATGAAATGTGTGCGTGCGCATGTAATCTCTGTGTATGTGGGTGGATTGAGAGTTTGGGGGTGTGCTAGTGTGTTTGGCACGTATTTGACTAGTCTTGACTGTGAGTTTGACTGAATTTTTGTTGCAGGTGTTGTATGTGTGAGTGTATGTGTGTGTGTCACCATGAGGATCTGGATGTGTTTGCTAGGATGGTTTCTGTTGGATTTAATGAAATTTGGAGTGCAAGGTCAGAGGAATCACATTCCAAAGGTATGGCTTCATCTGGCAACCCTTCCGAAATGTGTTTGTTTGGGAAAATTGTTCTTACAAATCATGCATCCACTTCCCCTATCTAATAATGACACGTGGGTTTGGTGGTGCACGCTAATCCAATAGTTTATGAAGCTCCACTTTGATTTGATTTTTTTTATGGATTGTAGTATGTGTATAAATATTCGTGTTGAAAAATAAGTCATGTGTGTGTAATCAAGTGTTATTCCATCTCTCTTGAAGGCTGACTGGTTTGGCTGCAGATGTGAGAGGTTACAGTGGTTTCGGTTTATATGAGGCAAATAGTTTTCACTATTCTGGTTCGACCCAGATTACCACAAACGCTGGGTTCATGTCCAGTGTCAGGGTGCAGTTTTTTACTATATTTGACATTTATTGGTTGTGCAATATTTTATAATTTTGTAGTTGATTTTTTGCACTTCTCTCAGTTTTCTTTTTGTGATGCTTATTTTAGTACACTGTATGATAACCACTGTTCTTTATAGGATTTTTTAAAATATTATAATGCACAGAGCTAAATTGAATTCCCAGCCTGACATTGTATTTAAAAACCAGTGGTGGACAGTAACTGAGTAGTTTTAATTCGTTACTGTACTTAAGTACATTTTTCAAGTATCTGTACTTTACTGGAGTAGTTTTATTTTGAGTAACTTTTACTTTTACTTCACTACATTCCAAAGCATAAGATCGTACATTTTACTTCACTACATTTCACAAAACATATCGTTACTCCTAATATATCACGTGCTCCGACACGCAGACTCAGGTACATCGCAGTGTAAGCTTCACAGTGAACATTACTACATCACTCTTGTCAATGTAGTCCATATCAACAACAAAAACATATCTTGACTCCATATAGTAGTTATTTTGGGAAAATCCCAGGTATTTTGAGCAGTAGGATTATAAAAAATATGTGCTAATATAAAATTAAATGAAGTAGCCTATATAAAATTGCAAAATAAATCTATCAGTACTTGTTTACTTAAGTACATAAAAAATCGAGTACTTTTGTACTTTCACTTGAGTAAAATTGAAAAAGGAGTACTTTTACTTTTACTGGAGTAATATTTTATGATATGTATCTGTACTTTTACTCAAGTACTTGATTTGTGTACTTCGTCCACCACTGTTAAAAACCTTCGGTGGCAGAAAAACAACTGTGGCAACAGTTTTATGACAAGACCAAAATAACATAATGGATAAGACTGAGAATTAATTCAGTTATTTATGCAGATGTGATTGGTGTTTTCTTACTTAATTTTGTTTTTTGCGCCTAACCATCTTTATTAAATTTGTTTAGTTTAAATTTGTTAATCTAGGACATCGCTCTATGAAAAACGTTTTACGGGAAGCTGTATTTAAATCAGTTTAAGTGCAAGATACAGCTAGTTTGTCGTTGCCCATATAAATACCTGTGTCTCTGTGATAGATTTACAGATAGTTGCTGTCTTTCAAGTCAGCTCAGCTTTTTTCATACCGACTTATGTGTGTGCGTAATTGTGTGTATGTACTGACCACTTTTTTTTAGACTTTCCACTTGCATACAGTATTTACAGACCAAGACAGTAGATGCTAATTTGTACCTTTCAGAAATTAGGTATGATAATAGGCAAGTTTTTTTTTTTTTTGCTAAAGTTTACATTTTAGTACTGGTGGTGGTTAGCTGGCATGTAGACGCATGTGTAAATAATGTATCTGAAGCCTAAAGGCACAACACTTTTGTTTTTTTAGGAAACCTTTACCTCTCCCATAGATCTGTCATCTGGCCCTTTTCACTGTTCTGTCTGAACTGTGTTCAGTCTTTTCTGTAACAGACCTTAAATAACAGCAAGATTGTACATCATGTGCACATCACAGCGACAAATCTGGGAACATTAATTTTTGAAGTGGTCATTGATCTGAATTATACATAATAGTCAAACTGATATTTATAGATTGCCCAATCTTGTCACAAAAAAGCAAAAGAAAGATTTTTTTCCAAAATTACAAAAGAACAAACAAAAGCATCTGGTCACTGATTAAGGACAAAACCCTGCAGCAGTGATGTTACATATATTTTCATGTTGGTCCTTGTAACAGGAAGCCCCCTGGTGGCCAAATGGTGTTATAGCTAGAGCTGGGGTGGAAGCTGCTCTTTGCTGGGTGACTGCACACTTAATGTGAGTCCGTGTGTTCAGACCCTCTTTGGCAGGCTATTAGACGGATATCAGACCAACAGCAGGAAGATAAGCTGGATGACAGCCCTTCGTTGCCAGGTGGAGATCAAGTGTCGGTTTATCAGGCCATGGCTACAGAAAGAGCCATTGTTAGTGATAGTATTAGGGCAAGGAGGTCTGATTTGACCCAGGTTTTCTTCCTATAAATGTTTTTCCATCTGATTTTTTCAGGCTGTGGTCTGATGTCATAACATTATATTACTGTATATTATGATATTATAATAATGTATATTTATACACACCACACACACACACATACATTTGTTTATTTATATTTAAAAATGTATTTTTTCTTTTTCTGGAAGTCATGAAATAGACCAACCTGGCAACCAGGTAATGGCAAAGCAGTATAGTAATAATTGTGCAAAATAGCTTAATGTATAACTTTACATGACTCTTAAGTCTCTTATTTTTAGTTTATCTACTTGTAAACCTTGCAGATGTCATCAAGAGAACTGAAGCGCTCCTATTGTCCTACAGAAGTCACATTACTGAAACGCCTAGCTTAGACTTCATGCAAATAGAGCAACTAGACAGAATCACATCAGATTTTAAAAAGAGACACGTTTCAGTTTTGTATGATGTCATTTTGATATGCAGCAACAATCCTCTGCCTTTGACACTATGATGTGGATGTTTTATCACAGAGAAAAGGCTGTTTTTCATTTCCCTTCTCGTAATTCAGAACCAAGCCAGATCATATGGAATCCAGACCACTATTCTTTGTCATTATTTTTTGTCTCTTTCTTTAGAATTCATTGACTTTGTCTCAAAATGTACCCTTTGTGTGTGTGTGTGTGTGTGTGTGTGTGTGTGTGTGTGTGTACCTGTTTTTCTATTCTGGTGGGGACTTAAACCTGAATACACACAGACTCATGGGGACTCGTGTCACGGTGGGGACCTAAATTGAGGTCCCCACGGGTAAACAAGCTAATAAATCACACAGAATGAAGTTTTTTGAAAATCTAAAAATGCACAAAGTTTCCTGTAAGGGGTAGGTTTAGGGGTAGGGTTGGTGTAGGGCAATAGCACATACAGTTTGTACAGTATAAAAACCATTACGCCTATGGAATGTCCCCATAAAACATGGAAACACAACATGTGTGTGTGTGTGTGTGTGTGTGTGTGTGTGTGAGACATTGGTTTGCATATTATTAGCATGAGTGTTTTGTGTCACTGTTTTGGCTCTTTAACTTTAGCTTTGTTTGGAGTGGTACAAATGTGTGAGACATGCATGTAACTCATGCACATCTGATCTTTACATGATGTCAGATCTCAGTAGATCATTGCTGATTGCTACAAGATGCTTAATAGTTTAAATTATTGTTGTTTATCTGCCTGGAATTATTGCACTCTTGTATTTACCTTAACATCTGTTAGCAGCAGCAACTTCACAACCATATGTAAAAATGGAGATTACAGCTTTAATCAAGTCGCATAAACATTCTCACGGTAAATTAGACATTATGATGAAGTGATTACATCTTCATTAAAACATATTATAGTGAACATAAAGCTCCCAGATGTAAAAGAAAAATAACAAACAGAATTGAATAATAGCTTACACTCAATTTTTGGTACACATGAAGTAATTTCTTTTTGTTAATAGGGTCTCCATAGACGTGGGATTATACGTGGAGACGGTACTCTGCCTACTGGATCCAAACGTCCTGACCTTGTGGGGCGAGGTGATGTGTTTGAGGTGGATGAGGATACAGACCTGGTAGACCAAAACATCTTATCCAAAAATGGTGGTAAACCTTCCAAAACATTCCCAACTGACACAACAAGCAGCCGTGATGGAAAACCAGAATCTAAACGTCTAAATGAAAACATCACCACTGACAAGCACAAACTTGGCAAACCTTCACCAAAGAAACCAGTGGATACCATAATTATCAACCTGGATGTTCAGATACCCGAGAAACCTACCGGAAGTATTGTACCTAGTAGCGAAATTCAACTGGAAACCACCTCCAGTCCTGAGGATCGAGAATCCAACTTGTTAAAAGAGGATTTGGGGGTCACCACACAGGCTCCTGTGAGAAAAACTTCTTGGGAGGGCATCTCAAAAGGAAGTGGAAGAAAAACATTCAAAACTTCAGATATCCCTGTAGGACCTGGCTGGGGATCTGAGGAGCACCCAGGAACCGTTATATTTACAGAAAGGCATGGAGATCTTGTGCGTGGCTCTGATGGGAATATGTATCGCATTCAAAGAGGACCCATGGGGCCAGTGGGGCCCCAAGGTGAGCCTGTGAGTATGATTTAAGTATATATCAGTGTTGTTATTGTTAATTATTAACTAAAACTAAATCTAATACAAATATCATTTTTGGTAATTGCAATAAAACTGAAATTAAATACAAATATTATATAAACTTCAAAAAAATTAAAATTCTAAATGTTGCCTTGGCAGCTAACTTAAATAAGCTGAATGCTAAAATTGCTAACACCAAACATGAAAAAATAAATAAATAATAAATTAAAGCTAAATAGAAAAAAAGACAAAAAGGGCATTACAAAATAACTAAAACAAACTAAAAGTAAAATCTAAAAGTAAAACCAAATTTTAAATGTTAATGAATACTATAGTAGTAAATAATTATACAAAATAACACTAGTATATATATTGCAATAAGTTTTGGTCTCATGTCACATCCTGTTAACACAAAATTATTACTTGAAACCAGTCTGCGTCAGAAAAAAAGGACACAATGGCTGAAATGAATTGCTGTAGCAGATACATCACACATATGCAGACATGTGCAGATTCTTACACAATAAATAGAATAGGAAACTTCTGCCACAATCTGCAAAATCAGTCTGATGCAGAAAGCACAAGAGGAAAAAATTAAAGAAGGGAATTTTCAGTCCTTTGATGTTGTATATGTATATTTCAGCTTTTTTAAACTGCACAGCATACTGCATATGTCAACATGTCTCACTTCCCGCCTTGGCATGATTCATATGGCTCTCTATAATTGGCTGTTGGAGGAACGACCCATCTGCCTCACCCAATCAAAATGCAACATTAACCTGACTTTACAAGTGATCAGGTCTAACAGAAGTAAACCCAGATGTGGTGCCATCTGGAGGCTTCTGGCTGAGCTCCAGTGGCCCAGGCACTGTAAAAGGCCTCCATTAGATAATGAAGGGTTGATTTATACCAGTTGGCTGAAAACATTAAGGAGATACTGCTCTGTCTGAAAGCAAAATGCAGTAGAGATGCAGTTATTAATGCCCCCTTTTTTCACATCTCTGTTACTACCATACCCTGCATTTCTGTCTTGGTGGGGGTCAAGCATTTAGTCATATGTTGAATAAGGAACTGACTTTATCATTCCAGGGAGTTAAAGCCTGTTCTACATTTTTTTGAAGCTAGAGCAATTGTTTGGCTCAGATGACAAAAAGCTTGTCACAAACTGTTCAGTGCCATTTAGTGATGAATATTTTTACTCTGTGTGAATGGTTTTGTTGCAAAAAAAACGTGCAAACCAGGTGTCATCCTGCTTTTAGAATAGTTTTGTGATGGTTAAAAGGTTATGTTTAGGTTTAACAATGTGCTTGTATTACCGTAGCCAGAGTGCCACTAAAGTTAATGTTTTTTACACCTTATTGCTTATTTTTACATCTTTTTTTACGTGCTATAAACCTTTAGTTTTAACTCTGTTAAACAAGCTCACTTTCTGTTAAAAATTAAAGCTGTATGTTTTATTTTGGTCACGCTCTGTGACTTCGTATGTTTAAGGTTTTTATTATGCCTTTTACTATGCCTTACTCCTTCTAGGGATGTCCTGGGAGTGATGGCTATCCAGGACCTAAAGGTGATAAGGTATGATAATAATCAGAATGTTTTTAATGAGAAATGGACTAGAGCACTCATTGTGAATCTCTCAGAGTGTCTGCACTGCCATGGTGAATGAAGGCAAGCCGAGGTCAAAGTGCTTCACTACCACAAGTTCGTGGAAAGTTCACGTGCCTGTGGTCATGACCAGCTGACCCCTTGTGTCCTTCTATGACCTTTGTCACTTCAGTTGACTGCTCTTATATGTTCAGTCTCCAAACAGAAGTCCAAATGCCAACAGGGAAGCTAGCAAAGACATGCTGTCAGTCTGACTTCCTATACTGTGCTCTTCAGGATTCTTCAGCCTCTTTTTCTACTTCTTTCATTTATTGATTTTCCTATTGACTTACATACTAAAGTTTAAAATCATCAATCACCAAAGTTTTCATCAGTTCAGCATTGGAAATTGAACCAATAGTGGTGACATCATTGTAATATTTGCAAACTGAATTGGGATTGGTCTTCTTTCTTGCATTTATTTACATACTGAACTGTGACTAGTCTTTCTCACATGTCTATATAGAGCCTTTTTACACTATAAACATAGTAGATGTGCCAAGTGTCATGGCAAAGAGGTTCTGATGCACAATTTTAAAAAGAAGTCTCTTATTTGTTATTTATTTGTATTCTTTATTAGTCTCTTATTTATTGAAAGAAATCTCTTAATTTCATCAAGTCAGCATTTATTTGATCCTTCAGAAATCATTCTAAAATTCTGATTTGATGATCAATAAACTTATTATCGATGTTGAAAATAGTTTTCTCAAAATTATTAACTGTGATACCTGTAAAAAAATAGCAGGATTATTTGATGAATAATGAGCTCAAAACAACAGGAAATAGAAATATTTTGTAACATTACAAATGTCTTGATCATTTTATTGCATCCTGCTCACCCTCAACTTTTGAATGGCGTTGTGTTGTAGCAGTTGATATTTAAATCTTGAAACAAAAATGTATTTATAACTTTAGTGGTGAAAGTCATGATAATTTATATAATATTTATCAGTTATCTGGTGGTGTCTAAACTGAACAGATCTATTATGTACAGTGCTGTTTTACAACATGCCTGTTTATACAATGCAGATGTGTGATGGAATTTTGTTTTTCATCCTAACAGTTCAGCTTTCATCAGGTTTGAGATTTGTTTAAGATTGTAAGCATATGTCAGTGTAAATCTTTTTGTGTGTGTGTGATGCAGTATTCCTTATTGTTGTGATTTTGTTTAGGGTTCCATTGGGCTTAAGGGCCGTCCAGGTCGCCGTGGAGTCCCAGGACCTCCTGGGCCACCTGGGCTGCCCACATTCTACCTGTGGAGAAACACACCTGAGGAATGGGCTGCATTTCAGGTAAGTTTTCTCTTTTTTTCAGTTTCTCCATTCTCCATGCTCCATCCCTGTCTGTGGTCTCCCTGTCTACAAAATTAAACTTTATCCCTCATCCCTTTAA